TTTTTAATGGTTCCTGCTTAACTTTCATCACACGTAAATACCGCTATAAATACAGAATAGAGTCAAGTGCTGTGATATTATTATGTGATCGGGAGCACTTCCTTAGTAAGAGCTGCACCTAGTATTTACTCCACTGCAGTACTTCCTTAACAAGTACTTACAGCGGATTATGTGCCTTTCTCATGAGATAACAAGTAAAACTAATGAAGTGCTTGCTGAGGTAGTACTTCCTGACTGAGTACTGCTTATCCTAAACTTAAAGGATTATCTCTCTTTCTTTCTGTCATGAGTAGAACCAGTGCAGTTTTTGCTGAGGGAGTATTTGCTTCTTTAAGTACTACTCACACTTTAAAACATAAAGAAACATATATAGAATCATACATACGGAATCAAGTGTTGTGAGATTATTATGTGATCGGGAGCACTCCCTCAGTAAGAGCTGCACATAGTATATACTACACTGCAGTACTTCCTTAGCAAGTACTGACAGAGTAAATAGTGGCGTATATATACGTGAAAGAGAACGGCAGTCGCTTCATAACATAAGTAATCAGAGAAAGATCACTTCTACATAAATTGTAAGTACTTAGTTAGGAAGTACTTACTTACAGTGAACAAAGATTTATTGTTCAAAACTTATCAACTTACTCTGTAACCACTTGCTAAGGAAGTACTACATTTAATGTTCTTTAAATGTGACGAAAGTTCACCACTACTGTGACGAAAATTCGCCTCATGCAACGAAATTTTTCGTGTGTGTGACGAAAATTCACACTTTGGTGACGACAGGTCCTGAGGAGTACCTCCCCCAAGGAACTTTCGTCATGTATGACAAAAGTGCGTTCGTCATAATGACGAAAGTGTGGTGTGACGAAAGTTCCATAATCCAACAAAACAAAGTGTCCAAGACGAATTGAACTAAGCTGTCGAAGACTTTTCTTTCGACTCTGGCAGGCCATTTTCCGTTACGTGGCATGAAATTTCGAAAGATCTTGATCACATACGTCCAAAAAAGGCTGTGGACCCTCAGGGATCGTCTAATGTTTTATTAAAAAAGCTATCTCTCGAGTATGTCTGTGTTTTCGTTATTTTATTTAATCAACTTTTTCGTTTAAATTCTGTACCCCATTGTTTTAAAATAGCCCGTCTTTTTCTCCTTTCAAAAAATGGGCAACATCCTTCGCTAAATGAGCTACGTCCCATTTCTATTCTGAACGCTTTAGGGAAGCTATACGAGAGGGCCTTTCACAGACGACTTCAGAAATGGATAAAACATGAGCATATTATACCAGACGTCCAGTCCGGCTTTCAACCGGGTGTTCGTCTGCAAACTCGTGTTTTGTCCCTTCTTGAGGAAGTCAGGATTGCTCTTTCGTATAGGCGTCCCGGTCTTGTCCTGTTTGTGGATTTCATGTCAGCGTTTAACACCGTTTGGCACGATGCTTTGCTAGTTAAACTGGCAAGACATCGTATCAGCCCGCGTCTCTGGCTATGGATTCGAAACTGGTTAAGAGAACGTTCTGCTTTTGTTTCTTTTGGCAGTTTGCATTCCCGTCCGTTTTTTCTGGAACGGGATACCCTGCAGGGTTCCGTTATTTCCCCCACGCTTTTTCTTATTTTTATAGCTGACTTAGTTCATTCTTTCCACGATGAATTGAGCCAATTTTTATGTCGATGACCTGTCTGTATTTATTTCTGTGCCTTTCGGAACACCATTCCAAGAGGCGATTTTATCTCTTCGAAGTAAGGCTCAACGAGCTTTAGACGCACTAGGAGCATACTGTGCCACGTGGCTGGTCGAACTCAATGTCAAAAAAACCGAGGCATTTCCTTTTTATTCTCATAAGAAAAACGATCCAATTATTTCTTTATTTTACAACGACCATCCTATTAAATTTGTAAAATCTTTTAAATATCCCGGGTACATAATAACAACAAAACTTGGATGGGGTAAAATTATCTCTATTTAAAGTACATTAATTTCCAAGTCCTTTCGTATTGTTTCGTCTATGTTTTTTCGTTCGGGTATGTTATCCATACAACTACGTCGACGTGTGTTTTTCGCTTTTATCTATCCACTTTTTGTATGGTTAGCTCCTTTATTTTTTTATTTTACTGATAAACAACAACAGCAGATTATAAATTTGTACGCATTTTATTTAAGACGTGTTTATGGTTGTTCACATATGGATTATGATTTATTTTTTTCTCTCACTGGTGAACGTACATTAACGGATCGGTTTTCTAGTTATTGGATTAAGTTTATGTCTAAGTTTTCTACTTTTCCCGATAATGTCTCCCTAGCCCAGTCATGGACTTTGTTTTCTAATTTTCAAACATCTCGAGAAATATTTGGTTTTCGCAAAAACTGTCAACAAATTTGTCTGTTAGCTGATAAATATAAACATGTATCTTTTTACTTTTTCGAATTCTGGAAATCTTATCGCACATCACTTAATTATTATAAAACTCATGCTAACGAACTGTTACCTGACCTTCGTCTTTTTCTCTGTTATCGTGATGCATTTATGGTATAAATCTGTAGAAAAACTATGTGATACAATTGTACATCCGCACAGATTTTATTTTTCAAATAGTGAATTTTTTGTTTTTTTCACATGTCTTTAACTGATCGTAACGGAATTTTCTCCAGTCAGCACTGACACTGGATTTTTTTTGCATTCGCTAATAAACAACAACAGAGAAGGGAAATTCAGGCAAACTATAGTTGTATAGTCACTTGTTGGTTCACGTTGAATACGTAAAACGAAATTTGCACAAATACAAGTCTCTACAGCCGGGAAATATTTCTATCGCTCGTTGACACGAATCAGAAAAATGTCCCATGAATTTCACATACTACTAATATGTGAACATTCGTGGAACATATTTATAGTGTATGATATTACACTTTTAGTGCAACGAGTTTACACATAAAGAAAGATAATTTAATACCATGTCCACAATCAGCAAATAATTTTTCAAGTGTGTTCGTCTGTGACTGTACCACTGTAGTGAGTGAACACGCGTCAAAATCGATGAATTATAAGAAAACGGAAAAGAATTGTACAAATTCAACAGCGAGTTCTTTCATCTTTCACACGTAATCAGCGTCGTGAAGCTTAATGAGCTCTATCAAATCCTCCCAAATAGTGCTCGATTGAATGCGCCTCTTCGCTTAAATACATAATTTACAAAAAGGTTCCTGTTTGAAAAAAGCGGAATTTCTGCAAACATTAATGATGCCATACGCACTTTCTTAAACAAATTCTTAAATACAACTATAGTAAGTGAACACGCGTGAAGATCGATGAGTCATAAGCAAGAATACAGAAAAAGTTTTGTAAAATCAAGAATGAATTATTTCATCTTTCTCCGCAATCAGTGTTGTATAGCTCAGTGACTTCTACCCTAGTGAATGTACCCGATGATAGGTGCTCGAATACTTGCATTTTTCTTCGGTACCTATGCGAATACCCTGCTGCACGAATGTCATAATTGTCATGATTTACAAAAAAAGGTTCCTGTCTGAGAAAAGCGGAATTTCTGCAGGTATTAATGATATCGCACGCACTTTCTCTAACAAATTCTTACACACAAAACATTCCTGAGTGCCTTGTGCTTTCTGAAGTCTTTGAAGACTTATGAAAGTTGCCCGTCTACGGGCCAGTGTTCTTGAAAACTACTGGATTTAGACCACGCGGGTACCTTAGACGACCTGCGGGAACAGGAAGTACAAGAAATATGGTAGGAAAGGAAAATAGGTAAAACCGGTAACAAAATGTCTACTACCCATGGACACTTGTTAATTGTCGTTTTTTTCACGTGTGTTCTTGTGTGAAATATGTAAGGATGGTTACGAGATGAAACGGTTTCGATACGTGAGCACGCGTGTACAGAGCAACAAATTAACTGGTGTTCACGAAAGACAGTTTTTCACGCGTGTTCTTATAGCAAGACAGCACACAGTATACGCTAGTTCCCGCGTGTTCACACGTGAAACTGCCGTGAACAAGTTGTTAACGCGTGTTCGCGATCACGGTCACGAAAAAAGCAACAAATTAACTCGCGTTTACTTTTCATGGGTACGTATTTTATGTCTGTCCACTAGTGCTGACTCGTGCAAAGCAGCGTTTCGCGAAATAGTGCAAAAAATTTCCGTGCGTGTTCAGATCGTGGAGGGTATTCAAATTTCCACATGGACAGCAGCTGATCGTATACAAGATTGTTAAGATATGTTTTATAAAAAATGTCAAATTCAAGCGAGACTATTTTTGTTTAAGATGGTTTTCTTGACATTGTAAAGGCACTTGAACAAACAGAAAAGCTGCCAAACTCTGGACACTCAGTTTTTCTACTTTGATTGTAGCTCAATTGGCTCGTAGCTATACTAAACTTTTTTCACATTTAGCCTGAATGAACCCAATCCTTTGCCGTCTTTCTTTCTTTTTGTGTACCAGAACGCCACGATTACTGTTTTGTAAGTAACTACAAGGGAATATAGTTTCTTTAAGTTCACCCCAAAACGCAAGTGAGCTGGACAAAATATGCTTAGCTCAAGTATTAAATTATGCTAGATACTGTCTTCTTTTGAACCAATCGAGAGCTCGAACATAAAACTTTCACAAAATCTATACCTTTTGAAAGATAACGCAGGTTTAAGTTAAAATTAAAGATCGGGTCAAATTCTATTCCGTGAGACACTTTGTGGGAAACTCAACTCTAGTTCAACTCTGAAATCTGAGCAACCGATCGCTTCGTAAAAGAGTAACTTTTTAAAATAATGTTGCGTCGAAAAGTGCGCATAGCGAGATACGCATTACGTAGAATGCTAAACGAAAGCGAATAAAATCGCTAGAGTAGAGAGCTGCCTTCAACACGTAAGCTAGTTGAAGTAAAAGAATTTTGTTTTGTTTTGAGAGCGGCAGCTCTAAGATAGAAAAGTTTGAGTGTGAACGACAGCCAGTCATATCGTACTTTCACTTTCTTCTTCAACTTGTTCAAAGTGAAACCTTGAATATTGTAGGTTGTTGTGTTTCCTGTCCTTCATTGGCATAATTCTCAGTCAATTCATTCGTGGGTAACGAATCACCAAGTATAGTATTCTCTCTGTCAACCTTCGCAGTCTTTAAATTCTGATTTTTCTTGAGTGTCGATGATATTGAAACAGTAGGCATAGAGCTGGATATGTCAGTAGTTCCTCGAAATAAATTCTCACTACTGGTACTGTTGTCAGAACCAATTTCTTTTTCCTCTTCCTTGATGATTTGGTCAATGACCTCTTTCCAATAGGATTGAGCAATGATTGTTTCACGTGCTATATTAACACGCTCTTGAAAGTTATTATTTGACGTCACTGAATTACAAAGCAAAAACGAAGTGTGTTCTGAGGAGAAGAGAGAGAGGTTGTTGTTTACCACTTACATTCCGACTCTTCTTGACTAGATGTATTTGACTGCAGTTTAGCAAGTGCCGTCTTTAGCTTACTCGCTGGAGTGATTGCTTCTAATTCGAGACCTGCATAGTCACTTGTGTTTGAAATCGGCGATATCTGGTTATCGGAACCTAAATCATGAAACGAAAAAAGAGAAAGACCATTCAGCCTGATTTTCAAGTTAGAGATAAACCTTAATCCGAATAAAATTTTCTACTTCGTGCCACTATTAACCTAAATTCAAATACCTCAGTTTGATAAAATTATAGCTTACCTTTATTCCTTTGTGTTACGGTGAAATTGAAGGCAACTCCTTTATTTGGATAGTTCGTAAAGACAATCGGTCTGCTGGGTTGCCGCGCCGGAGATTCACAAATAGTTTGAAAATGATTGAGATTCACTGAGTATTCATCACGGTCGACAGCAAACGGACTGCCAGCTCCAGGTTCAAAAGCAATGGCAAGAAAATGCCCTTTTACAACTGGTAATTGCATGTTAATTTTAAACTTTTGCACACCGCTTACTTTCTTTATCGTTTCAACTGGTATTTTATAGTACGTATGTACATGTTCAGTGGGTTGACTGAGTGGATGTCTTCTATGTAACTCACTATTCTCACATCCTCCGCAGACTTTGTCGTCGTTCCATTCGACAACGAAAAATGTACATGGATCGGGTGTTTGTGCGAGAACATAGAGTTTAATCTGCGGATCATCGAGAGTTGGAGGTGTGCAAAAGTTAATAGATACATCGGAAACAACTCCATCAAATTTAATTTTATCCATAAAGTTGAATACAACACGATTACTGAGGTTTGAGTCGTAGTCTAAAGTGTTTTTGATATCGCCACCGTAGGCATTTCGTTTCTCTCTATTTTTGTATCGACGTCGTAATTTCTTACCAATATAATAGACGTACTGTAAGAGACTAAACGGCGGAGGAAAGGCTGATTTATTGCAGTATTCGTTAACCAAGAGAAAGCGATGGTAAGACCAGGAAGCGTGTGCTTCATCTTTGATGCGGGAAATTGTTTGACTAGATAGAAGAATCAGATCTACCCACTCCTAGCTCGTGATAAGTTCATTCAAAACTCACTTGAATAAGGCCACAAGAATATTTAACAGCAGCACGTTTGCTACGCAGACAAATATAATGGTAAGAATAAAGGTCGTAACACCGTATGCATCGTTAACAGCTGAAATAAGCAGAGGTTAGCTTGAAACGTTGTTTTGGCGGCTTCTGCGCCGATCTGACCTACCTCCTGCTATTGTTGTATTATCTGCTTCCGTAATGCCAAGCAGATTAACCTGACCGAATACTTTCCATATTCCCCAATCGATGACACTTCTCATCAATTCCCAACGCCACAGACCCGTTCCATCCTGGCTTACACTGTAGATCGTTGCTCGACTCCCGTCCGCATTTTCTTTCCAAATGACTTGACTACTGGTGGTCATCAAGGCATAAGATGATATTGAATATCCACAGATGAAGACGATAATGAAACAGATGAAATATAGAAGATCATTCATCTAACCAAAGACCGGAAATGGAATAGTGACTGCAGATATAAATTACCTAAGTGACTTGACGCCTTACCGTGTTAAATATCATCAAGAGCTTCGGTCCTAGACGCTCATAAGCAGCAAACAGATGTAAAATTCGAATGTACCAGAGGAATAGATCTATGGACATGCATATTCTAAAAAAATGTGTCTGCGATTAAACTCCAGATGGCCGGTTAAAAGTGAACTCACTTTGAAACGATAAAGGCTTGTTCAATTACAATGAACCTCGTTATAAATCCCATGACATAGAAGAATATGGCAGAGAAATCTAATATGTTCCACTGATCTTCCCAATAGAATGACCAGAACGGCAAACGGTTAGTACTTTCACGTTTCTCTTTCCAATGGAGTAGAAACTATGGGAAACCAAAAATGTCAGACATTTGAATCATCGATGAAGCACTTTTGCATATCAGGAAGTAGAAGTATTTTAACGACTTCTCTCACCTCTCTGGCTTCTTCCACAATCAAACTCCAGAGAAGAACATGCAGTATGGTTTCTGTTATTGGAATGACAATGTTTGAATAGCCATTTCGTTTTCCACCATAAATATTCAAGGGAAAATAATCCACTAGCAGCACAAAACTGAACAGCCCGAGGAAGATAATGTAGAATAGCTATATGGTGACACAAAGAGATAGTCAGGCAATTTGCAGAGGTACAGTAACACGTACATACAATATTGTAGTAGAATCTGACAATTGCACGTCCTCTGTAGAAATATCCATAACTGGATTTTGTTCTTTTAAACCAACTTCGCGTTCTTCCAAAAGGCCTAGTAAATCAGAAACAGTTTCTTTGAGCATTTGACTCAAAGTAGCTCAGTCTAGAGGAACTCACTCCTTGGTCTTATGACACATATCACGAACACGTGGTACCAGAAGTAACAATGGACATAGGCACACGAAAAATATCTAAAAAGAACGAAAAGGTCGTCGATGACCAACAAACACATCTGGTTTTCCATGACTATCAGCAGAGTGATTTAGCCTATGCCTACGGCTCTTTTTTTTCCAGAGAACAGAGTCTCGCAACTCACCAAGCCACTGATCATCCATTTAGGGTATTTATGTTTATCAACTGGTCCATACCAAATCTGATCTAAATAGTTGTGTACGCACTCAGTAGCTAAGACCTGTTGACTACTATTCTCCTTTGCTAAATACAGTGGGCTATAATTGAAGAATAGTTTCGACTTTGTTGTCAACACTTGAACGGCGAATTCTTTATCTTCTTTGTAACATTTATTGATTATATTCGTTGCGTGAGTATCAAATTTTCTGCAGACAGAGAGAAGAAACTGATTCTCCGTTTAAAATGATGTATCGGTGAACTCACTTTTCTACTTCCTCGAAAAAACTCCGTTTTTCACCATCGATTGTGAGCTTCGAAGCACATTGATACACTTTACTTGCCATGAGCGCAGCTACAATGGTATTCTAATCAAAATAGTCAGAGAAATGAGGAATACAACTAGTCACAGAAGACACTGTCACCTACTGAGCTTTTCGAACAGAGGTAAGTTGTAATATTGTAGCTATTAGCTGACACTGACCATAGAAATAGATCGCGTATGAATTCTAAAGATTGCAATGAAATGCCGGTTGCTTGTCAACGGAGATCTCAATAAACTTACCTGATGGAGGACTAATACTAAAGCTGAAAGCTATTCCTAACTTCGATTGATTTTCCAACGTTAAAGTTGTTTTCGTTTTAGAACTCTTTTCTCTCTGAATAGTTGAATATTGATTTCGTCCTTTTGTATTGTACACAAAGCCTGTTTGCACCCCGAAATGAAGAGCAATAAACTGTCCATTGGTAATGAATATTGCCGAGCTTGAAAGGTTAAAGTTTTGTATGCCAGTTGAAGGCTTGATATCGCTAGGTGGAATTTGGTGTCTGAACGTTATTATATAGTCGTTTGGATTAGCTGTAGCCGTCAAAATATAGATCCATATTTCAGGATTATGAGAAACTGGTTCACCATGAAAATTAATCGAAATACTATTGAGATAACCGTCTCTGAGGATCATGTCAACGGAGTTAAATATAACTTTGTTACTATAATCTAGAAGCGCATTCTCCGTGTCATCGAGAATTCCATAGATATACTCTGAAAGAAGGAAAAGATGGCTATATCTATACATATGATCGTTCGTCAGTATTTACCTAAGTCCGTTTGACGTTCTACCTAGAAGAACATTTAAAGAAAACTTAGGAAAATTGGTAAACATTTAGAGTTAAAAATCTCTCACCTTCGATGAGAATACGGTTTTTGATGCGTTTTTATTTAGATAAGTGTAATAATATTCAAACTGTTTTACAATACTATTTTTAAATAATGCTGGTACAGCCGACAGATGGGGTTCGAACTCGTTTCGTTCTCGTTTATTAATCTTTGGTGGAGGAAGAATAGTTTGCTAAAGGAAAATATATCATTTAATTAAAATTTGTCATCTCTGTTAGAGTTTTGATATCTATGTAGGCACTCAAATCCATAGAACTCACCGAATGCTCATACAGACCACGTATTTTCATCAGTTTCTTTAAATGATACAAGGATGCACCATTCTCCGTCAATTTTTCTATAAACACAACGGAAGCGAGACGCAGAGCAGTTAACAAACTGAGATCAAGACCGTGCCCCTTTGAAAAGAAAGAATTTTGTCATAAAGGCGTTTTTTTAAAACTAAATGATCTCGAAAGTGAGCAGAAGAACGAATCGTACTCCTATTCGTTTTTCTTCCAATATCTTATTAACCCAATCAAACTTCTTCCATGTCATGGCCAGTTTGAGATCTTCCGTCCTCTTGCTTTCTTTAGTGTTTCCAGCTTTTGATTTGGTTGCTAAAACATATAATAATCAGAAAACACACTTACGTCTCTCATCTGCCAGAGAAAGACAAAGGATCCTACTACCTTTCATTATCGCATTCAATATGGCATCATTTAACTTTTCTTTCTTGTTTCCAAATTTAAATGTACTAATGTGAAACTGTGCAATACTCGGTTTCATTATATCTATAAATTGCTCTCTATTCGTCTCATTAATGATCTGGTCCTCTGTACCTTTCGTATATCTCGCCATACTATAATAAGTTAGCAGAAAGTTAGAGATGAAAAGACTAGCTGAATACAGAGCATCGAAACTTACAAGTCTGCATATTTTCGGGCAATCTCTTGTTCTGAAGTTTCACCTGGAGACTCATAGATAGTTTTATATTCCTTTGCTATGAGATCTGCAGCACGACCGGTCTCCTAAGACAGAAGAGAATGTACCTTGTATAAGATTGAGGAAAGAATAGTCGCGGTATGTTATATTACCTCAATGACAATGAGATAGGTATTTTGGTTTAATGCTTCACAAACAGTTTTCACAGATGACGGACCTCCTTCTGCTAAGATTTGTATAACTGGTATATGATGAGCTGAACAAAAAAAAGTTGAGAAAGCGATTTAGATGTACAGTACACTAACTAAAAGTGTAATCGGAGTTACATACGTTGTCCTTGACTACTAATCGCACTTGCTTGTCGTTCAATTTCCGCCCGCAATTTCAATATGAGATCTGCACGACAATTCGCTTTTTCCTTTGGAAACTCTCTAATCCAGTCCAGTCCTGGCCCGAAATTATCATCCAAGAGTAGATAGTGTGTGTGATTTGGATCGAGAGAACTACTCTCCTGTATAACTCTTTCAGTCGGCTGGTCTACATTTATCGTCGTTTGGGATGGAGTGGATGACAATCTTCTTAGCCGATATCTTGTTTGTTGTACTAGCTGACCTGCAGCAGTTCGTACTACTCCTTCCCGTGTTGGTTTCGGTTCCTGATTGTAAACCTGTGGACTAGTTCTATATAGCTTTATTTGTTCCTCATTGATTTTAACTTTCTTCTCACTTTTTTGCTGCGGAGGAGGAGGTACAACGTTAAGAACAGGTATCTGGAATAATATAAATATATAGATTCAGTTACAGTGATAAAGCAACAGAGTAGTAGAACATACGTTGCCCACTTGTTGTTTCTTCTCCTCAACAGACTTTTGTACTAAATGTTGGTAGTCTAGAAATGTGTGCAAAGGCGTTAGGAATGGAATTTAGACTACTACTAGAGCTGTTTTAACTCGAACCTGTTGTGTAAAACCAACTTGCTATTCCGATGCAGGGAATATTTGATGGAATGTTCGTATTTTCATATCTCACCTTGGCCATTGCATCACCAACGGCCTTCATCACACCGGAATTGGTACCGCCAGTGAAGATCCAAGCACCTTATAAACCGAAACGCACACAGCAGCTAGTAGTGCGGCAAAGGAAGGGAAATTCTCTTCTTACCGGTTGTTAGTGCGGCGGATATTAAGCCGTCTTGAAACTCTGTTCGCAGTTCGGGCGTTGTGATCTTATAAAATCGTGCACCACCAGTTACAGAGATAATTAGTTCTGGAATCGGTAGGTTCCATCCGTGCCGCATAAAATCGACGATCAACTGAGCTGGTGTTGCTGCTGTTGGCGAGGAAGGAGCAGCTACCATTCCGGGAGCGTTGGGACTTCCATTTTCCGCAACCTGCGCTTCTGTTGTTGTAGTAGCTGTGCGTCGTGGCGAGTTTGGACGTACCTGAGTAGTTGGTACCTGGGCTTTGGCATTGAAGGGAAACCTAACATACTAAATAAACAAGGCATGACTATAGATTTGTGGATAAGAAATACAAGGATAAACGAAATATTTTTAAAGTCCTCGCTCACCCAAGATAGCCGATCGTTCTCGGCAAAACGAATTTGTCCAAAATCGTTCAGTCTGGTAATGTACAAGAAAAAATGAACACCTCGTCACAAAAAACTATATATCTTTTTTCAAACGCTTACTCTAGATTTGGATGATCGACTGCCCACTAGGAAAAGAGTAGTCACATTCTGAAATCGATCGATGGTGTATTAGACCTAATCTTAACTTACTTTATTCACTGAATTTTTAATTTCCTCTTCTTCGACACTTTTCGTCTCTGGAATCATATTTTTTACTTCGTTTTAACGAGCTGGAATCCTTTTTGCAGTAACTGTCACAACGATTCGTTGCTTTTCGTTTCTCTTTTTTATTTATTGAAGAACAACACCTTTATCATCACATGACCACACACAGGTGACGTTTTAATTTCTGTTTTCATTTCTTTTTTCTTCGTTTTCAAGATTAAAAAGAGCATTTTTTGTTTACAGTTTCTTTTTTCTTTGCTGATGTACAGTACTCACAAAAGCTCAAGAGATTGATTTCAAGTATATTTTTATTGTAGTTGAATTATTATGCACATTTCTGCAAATAGATTCTTACTTACTATGCAATCTGAAAAAAAATGCGACTTTAGCAATATGTCTATCGAGAAAAAGTGTCTTTTGTGTGACCAGATTGCGTCTTCAAAACAATAGGCATCCTCCATATGTCTTCAATGTGTCTACCGGAGGCGGCGAAGCGTTTTTTCTGGAAGATGGAGTTTTCCGTAGAAGTTTTCGTACCAACCAGAATCCAACATTTTTTTATTCAGACTCCAAAAAAAGGTGTGGAAGGTTCCTGAATACTAGAATTCCAAGAATTGTTCAAACTGATTTGATGTAATTTTGACTTCGAATTCAAGAAATCGAGAAAAATCACATTTTCAGTTTTTAGATTTTTGTATTCTTTCAATTGAAAAAATCCAAAAGTCTGGGTCAATTTTTGAATTAAGAGAATCCTTGATGGTTATTTATGAATTCTTGAATCTTTTCCGATATGGAAAAAGATAAATTCAATTTCTGAATTCTTTCAATTAAGAAAAATCCTTCATAGTTATTCATGAATTTTTGAGTTCTTTTTCCAGCTCGAGGAAGATTCAAGAATTCATAAATAACTATCAAGGATTTTTCTTAATTGAAAGACTTCAAAACTCTATGCTAATTCTTGAATTCTTTCTGGTAATCTTTAAAATTTTATCAATATAGAGTTCTATGAACTTGGCTGCCCGTTTATAGGCTTTTGATATGAAAAACTTTGAAGCTTCGCTAAAAGATAAAGCAGAATCAGGGCTACAAAATGGCTAATTCAGTTTTTCTTACTTTCAAAACGTTAATACAAGAAATCATTTTTGAATTTGGAAGGTTTTCGTTTTTTTCGACTCTCATATAATTGGCTTAGTTTTCTTGATTAAAGTTCTGAATGTTTAGTTTAGGTATAATTTTGTAAAATATTTCAAGGCGCATGTTTTGTAAAAATAGCTCAGATCGATAGAAGATAAGGGAGAAAAGACGTAAATACCAAGAGAGCAACTTCTTCTGAAGCACCCGTTAATGTTGTATTATTTTAAGAATCTGCTAGATAGGTAGTTCGACATTATGATGGGAATTTTTCTCGTCAAGACATGATTCGCATGTTTTTATTTTTTCACGATTTTATGCCCCGGGTCCTGTCTTTCGTTCGAGACCTCTGCCAGGCCTTTTTTTTGCCAATGTGCGAATTCTTGAAGACCAAAACGATTATTTTACGAATTCGTCGGTGGTCGATCAGTTCGGTTTATGAATTCGTGGGTACTCGAAGTTTGTTGCCTACAAGTTCGTCCCAGTTTACGAATTGGCAAGAGGAACAAAAGAGGCACCTTTTTGGTTATTTTTTCATCATTTTTGTTAGTTCGCATCAGTTCGCAATGAATTATGAATTCGCAAAACAATGGTAAAATGCGAATTATTGTATCATTTGCTCAAATATTGCAATTCGTCTTTAGACACTTTGCCCACACTAATGCTCTTACTACAGTGAATTTACCTGTTCCGACGGCCAGTCATTAAGCCATATCGTTTCTTCTTCTCTAAACTTTTTTCTTTTTTCTATCTTTTTCTTATTTCTTTTTTTTGCGTAGTGGGGTGAGTTGGTCATAGATTTTTGTTAAACTTTTTATCACCGCCTTGTCAGTTTTTAAGATTATGGACTAAATAAATTTGACTTTGACTTAACTTGACTTGACTACTTCTACTCAGCGAGATATATTCGTTTAAAATTAGATAAACATAATTTAAACATAAATGACTTAAAACAATAAAATAGAACATAATCTGGTTCAACCAGATTTAAACCCATCTGATCGACTAAATTTTAAATCATGTATGAATATATCATTATATACATTTTTCGTGGGTGGTGATCTTTTTGTTCGATTTTGGAAACATTGGTTGGCTTGAATTAAGAATAAATCAATTAAATCGTCATTTATAACCCCATCCGCGTACTATTCAATAGAGCTTAATACTCATTCATTTTATAGTATATTTGTTTATTAGTAATAAATAAAATATTACCATTTGAATGTTCAAATGTTTCTTTATATAATTCACAAGTCTGTAAGAGCACTTTCAGAAATGCAAGTGCTCTTACAGGTGTTTTCCAGACAGTGTTAATTTTTGTGTAAAACAATTTTTGAAAAGAGCAGAAAAATAACATTAACAACAAATGTAATAACAACAAACATTATCAAAATATACTAAACGTCGCTTATCAAATTATATTTTAATGAAAAATACAGTAAATATATCAAATGATAATAATAATAATATAACAGTTAATACTCGCACAGCAGATAATAGAAATACAGTAAATGAAATAAATAATTTTTCAGGCATATGTATTGTAGATCAGGTAAATGATGATAATAAAAAATCTTTCTTTCAACTTCAACTTAATGGAAAAACTAAATATATACACAAACAATCAGCATGTTGGTATTTGATAGGAGATACAGATCATTTATCTGCAGATAGACTGAAACGTATTCAGATAAAATAAACACAATCCATCTGCTAACAAATTGATCTAAATTTCCTGTGTCTATGATAAAATCAGCTAAAACGAGAGGAAACATTAAAGAATCTGAATAATCAGCATCAAAAATTATTCATAATTAAGTATGTTTCAGGGAAAAACTGACGTCAAACTTAAGAACGTTCTCTCGTCAGCTATTATTTCGTTTCTACTGTTCTAAGTAGTTAGTTAATAACGGTTAATTTTAATGACGATATAATTGAATATAATAGCAATATGGCGATTTCAACATTAGAATAAAATTTAATTGCTCATAAATTACAAACATATCAAACTTCCTAAGAAATAATTGGCCAAGATTATTCATATATAATACTCTAAATACTGGTTAAAAACAGAACACCATACCCAAAAAAATGACTACCGATAACATCGAGTCGATTGTAGAACTTCAATCGTTTCACAGAATGTAGATACAGAACAGTGGATTTAGTTTTACAGTTTCTGTAAAGCTAGGTTCATGTGTTCGAATCTCTATTCGTACAAAACTCTGTTTGTATTTTACGATAGTTTTAGTTTAGAGTACTATAATGAATAATTTTTCGCTTGTATTCTGACAGAATAAAGCTTATATCAAATACCGATTCGATTTTCGATGTTGTTGGTGATGGGCTATAGACCGTCGCACAGTGGGCATATAGGTGGAAGTTTAGCTCAAAATCGTAAGTGAGCTTTTTTGAGATTTGAATACTGTCATATATATTTTGGCTAACGACCGATTTACTGATGAAAAAATTTTTTCTAAGAGGTTTCCCTGTTCAGAAAATTGCCACAGAAAATCTACATACTAACTAATGCGTTTTTGAAAACGTTGATTGCGTATTTCGCACACTTCGTCACGGTGCGCAATTTTAGCTAGGCATGCGGACATCAACTCTAGAAGTAGACAAAAACTACTTAAACCAGTTTTCCATAAGTTTTCGATGATACACTTCTCAATGGCATGGTTCTTGAGTAACAAAAACGTTCTCTAGAGGACTTTCCAGAGATCCGGTCTCTGGAAAACCCTCCAGAAAACATTTATACTATTTTATGCTAACTGTATAGATGCATTGAATGGCGAAGAACATTCCCTGAAAGTTCCGTTTAATTTTGACTTGCGCTAAAGTGAGATTCTAATGTTAAAATTGCCATATTGCTATTATATTCAATTATATCGTCATTAAAATTAACCGTTATTAACTAACTACTTAGAACAGTAGAAACGAAATAATAGCTGACGAGAGAACGTTCTTAAGTTTGACGTCAGTTTTTC